CACGAACCCGCGTCTCCTGCATCGGCAGGCGGACTCTCAAGCACTGCGCCACCAGGGAAGCCCCAACGTACTTTTTCTTTTTAATCAGCAGTAAAAATCAATGTTGAGCCACCTTTCTCCTAACTCAGTATATGTGTTAAGGGAGTAAAATAAATTTAATTATTAACCTAAACAAGATATGACTGGGAAAGGCATCTGACCCTCAAAATGACAATATGTAATCCAAAGAAATATTCCATAGTCAATATTCCACAGCTAAAAGTTTGGTGAGACACTAAATCATCTTTATTATCTCACTTTGCCTCAAGCAGAATTTTTTTCCTTTTTCTTTCTTTTTTGGCCTTGCCATGCGGCTTGTGGGATCTTAGTTCTCCAACCAGGGATCGAACCCTTACCCCTGCAGTGGAAGCTCAGAGTCTTAATCGCTGGATGGCCAGGGAACTCCCAAGTAGAACAATTTTTGAGGGAAGGGGAATGGAGCTTAGATTTTTCCAGTTCAATTCTGAGTGTTGCATCTGATCTCTTTACATGACCCTGAAACCACTGTCTTCCCATGTGCCTCACTCCCACAGTCACTGCTGCAAGGTTCTCTATTATTGCCAGGTCGCCTGAGGCTCTGCAAAGGACCCAGGCCTGTTCACTACCATATCCCAATGCCTAGCATCATACCTGGCTGAGAAGGCAGTCAAAAAACAGTTGTTGACTGAATGCAAAATTTTATTACATCCTCAGATGTCTCTTTATTTTTTGGGGGGGCGGTGTTTCAATACGACAAATGTGTCATATACCGAAATGCAAGACTTTTAATAATAGAAACCGTTACCTTGGTTTTCTCACAACCTTATGAAACAGTACTTTATGTGTGTAAGAATTTTTTTTTTTAACATCTTTACTGGAGTATAATTGCTTTACAATGGTGTGTTAGTTTCTCCTCAGATGTCTCTTAAATTATGTCAAATTGTTTTTTCAAGGTATGGTTTTCTCATAGGGTTGGCTAATATAGCTGGTACCTAACAATTTTTTTTAATACGCTGCCTACCCTTTATAAAGGATTTGAGGGGCCTATAAGACATAAAAGCAATAAAATACTAAAACTTAAATAATGAAAAGTCAAGACCAGGGAGCGTATATGGTTAAAGTATGTTGGGGCGTGGGGAGGGGAGTGGAGACGGGGGTGGAGGGCACAGAGATGCAGGCTCTAAATTTGTACACAGTAGTGAACAGCAGATTGGGTTCTGGGCTGCTTAGTGACCAAACCAAATAGGGGGATATTCTGTGTAGTTACATGGTTTTCATTGTCCCTAAGTAGAAAACATACAAATTCTTTAGAGGAATAAATATTTTATTGATATTTAGTTTTGAAATAAATTTCTCACGCGGGATTTCCTATTGTGAATAAGTCCATTACTTGATGATTTGGTCTCAGGATACCTTTATACTCTCAAAAACTGCTGAGGACTCCATCCAGTTTTTTTTTACATCAGGTTTCTCAACCACAGCACTACTGACATTTTGGACCAGATAATTCTTTGTTGTGTGCATTATAGAATGTTTAACTGCATCCCTGGTCTCGATGCACTGGATGCCAGGAGTGTCCTCCCAAACAGGACAATCAAAAATATCTTGAGACACTGCCAAATGTCCTGCAGGGGCAAAATCACCTCTGACTGAGAACCACTATTACACTGATTATATCTACCAATATTTAACATATTAGACATGAAAACTGAGAAACTTTTTAAAAATTATGAATCCATTAAAGAAATAAATCCATTATATAACATAAACATATTTTTATTTTAAAAAACTTATGTTTTCTAAACCAAAAAAAGTAGTAAGGAAGGTGTCACTGTTTTTAATGTCTGGCTTAACAGAAAACAGTGGCTTCTCATATGTGCTTCTGCATTCAGTCCCTAACGATATGTTGTTCTGGTTCAAGTATATGAATAAAACCCAGGCTCACTCACATATGTAGCAGGAAAAGAGAGGAGTATTTTTAAATGGCCTATTCTGGCTACTAATATTCTTCTGTAATACTATACCAAATTAGACAAATGGCAATTTCTTAACAGTCAATTGCAACATGGAATCTGAAACCCTATCAATGCCCTTTCCATGCTCTGTTACACTGAAATCTATTGGTTTATCTTGCCCTTTGAATGGAACTTTTCTGTATGTGTGATTTTGTAACATTGTGACTTATTTGGGCAATATTGGTTCATGAGTTATGGAGAGTTTCCAAATGTTGACACATTTCTTTATACAATACCCCAAAATCACATTTGTTAAGATTACTACCCATCTCATCAGAAAAAATCTTTTAAGTATTGGAAAATGGTCAAGGTCAGAATGGCAGATACAAGTTTCCCAAAATTCTAACTTTCACTTGAAAACTCAAACTTTATCATTAGCAACAAATTCTGTCACTTGTTTTCTTTGTTTCTGTTTTGTTTTGTTTTTTTTTTTTGGCCGCACACACAGCTTCTGGGATCCCCGACCAGGGATTGAACCTGTGGTCCCTGCAGTGGATGCGCAGAGTTCTAACCACTGGACTGCCAGGGAATTCCCAGTCACTTGTTTTCTTTGAAGTGACAGGGTCAATCATTCATTTTCAAGAAAATATCTACTAAATACCCAAGTCAGTTTGTCTGTCAGTTGGTCTTTCAAATAAAAACTGTGTCCTGTAAAAAGTAGGTGTCTAATTCAACTTGCAATGTAGACAATCATACTAGAGGTTTTCCTTGAGATAACCATTTTACTTCGGTACGTCGAAGTGCTTTATGTGTTCCCCCCATTTGTCATACAGAATATTAAAAAGATATGTACTCGAGCTTGCCTGGTGGCGCAGTGGTTGAGAGTCCGCCTGTCGATGCAGGGGACACGGGTTCGTGCCCCGGTCCGGGAAGATCCCACATGCCGCGGAGCGGCTGGGCCCGTGAGCCATGGCCGCTGAGCCTGCACGTCCGGAGCCTGTGCTCCGCAACGGGAGAGGCCACAACAGTGAGAGGCCCGCGTACCGCAAAAAAAAAACAAAAACAAACAAAAAAAGATATGTACTCAACGGTTGAGATTTAAGAAAATTAATAATTTTTACTGCTTCATCAAGGACATTCTTTTTTTTTTTTGGCTGTAGCGGGCGTCTCACTGCTGTGGCCTCTCCCGTTGCGGAGCACAGGCTCCGGATGCGCAGGCTCAGCGGCCATGGCTCACGGGCCCAGCCGCCCCGCGGCCTGTGGGGTCTTCCCGGACCGGGGCTGCACCACCAGGGAAGCCCTCAAGGACATTCTTAAGAAAAACTGGCTTTAGCAAGTTAATGGAGGTGAAACACAATGACTACTAGTACAGTGTGATGTCACTGCCTTGGTTTGTGCTATGTAAGTTTTATCCACCATTACTTTTGCACTATCAGTGCAAATATCAACAAAATGAAAGAGGCAAACGTTATCCCAACATTATTCTAAAAATAATTTTGACCTTGAGGACCCACTGAAAGGGTCTTGGGGATTTGCAGGGGTCTATGGACCACCCTTTAAGAGCCACTGCTGTAAAGGATGAAGAGAGCTTGACAGAAGTAGTAAGATTGGCCACTTAATGTTTGGAATATATCAGTTCATAAAAGCCCTATTATCTTGGATAGTTAGCTTGTCCAGGACAAGACAAATAGTCTGTTTAATTTAAAATGTAGCTGACTCACAGAATCCAAAGATTTTTATGACATTTCCTTCAAATGACTTAAGTGGGATAATAAATGTGATAGGATTTTCAAACTGAACTATCCAACTGAAAATCAGAAAAAAAATCATATTAATGACTAAAATTGAGCCAGTCTTTGTTTTGAGTCTGTTAGTTTCAAAGATACACATACAGGTTCTATAAAGAAATTTATTAAACATCCTACAATACTTGCACATCAAAATTAACCATTTTAGAATTTGTTTAAATATAACTAAAATGTGTGCCATTAAATATTTATTCATATTTAAACACAAGACTTTAAAAAGATAACTGTAATCAACAGTGAATCATTCCATTCAGCAAACTTTTATTTAGTCATTATTATGTGCAAAGCAGGGAGTTCGGGATATTTCAAACGCTCTGAAAACAGGCTTTCCTGTTCCAACGATTTAAATAATCATTACAGAATTTGAAGTACAGGGGGCAATAATGAAGAAATAATACCTGAATTTTGGAGAGAATACCTATACACTGCTATTCAGGATGCTATCGTATTAATGATAAAATTTCAACCTGAACAAAAATATGTAGGTGTTAAAAGAGCTGTGTAGGTAGAATATACTAGGTCTTCTGTTTCACTAGTGTAAGTCAACACATGTAAAATACAGTAGAATTACAACAAATGTGGAAAAAAGGTCTAGGAGTTTTTTCACCAAAATGTTAACAATAGTTATATCTGGATGGTAGCATTCCTGGAGACTTCTGTATTGCTCATTTATTTCCTAACTTTTCTACAAGAAACAACGTATTACCTATGCAATGACGACAAGGTAGAAATATTTTATATAACTATTCTTACATCAATCAGAAAAGAAATCAATGGAAAATCAAGAAGAGGATTCAACATAAACTTGACATTTAAATGACATATGCTAACAATGACAGTTCTGGTGAGTGAAAGAAGACAAACTAAGACAAGAAAAAGGAAGACCCGGTTTCTTCTTCACCAAAAAGAACATGATAGATTGGAAAATGATTCGTGGCTCAACCATAACGGAAAATGAGGAATGAATGCGAATAATTTATGACAGACGAATAGGAGTGCGAATAAGAGAAAGCAAAAGCTGAAGCCGGGAGGGAAACTCGAGCCCTCAGCCAGCAGTGGGGCAGGGAAAGAAAACGCGGTAAAGTGAGTCTTTAACGCAGCCTCTTTGTCTATCTAGAAGACCCCAAAGGGAGAGGAAACGGTCACTGGCCTTGAGAAAATAGCTTAGATTCGTGACAAGGAAAGCCCTTCCGCTCAAACATTAGTCGCACTGGGAGGACAAGTACAACTGCGGCACGGAAAACGCCTGCGAGCCCACACCACCCGCTCCTCACCTCAATAACTCGCCCAAGAACCAACCCCTTGCGGCGACCGCCATCTTCCGCCGACCCACGATCTCGAGAAGCGCTTACGTTGTTCCTCTTCTCTATTGGCTCCTGAGGAAGCGTGCGGTCACCCCCGCCCACACAGGGGCGATTGTGCATTTCAATTGGTTGCTGGTAGTAGCTTCCCACGGCCTTCCAGCCAATAGAATCTCCCGCGGGGGTGGAGAAGTTTTCGGCGTGGCGTACTCGGGCCCGGCCCCCCACGGGCGGAGCCATAAGGGGCGTTGGGCATGGGGAGGGCGTGGCCTGTGATGGACAGCCGGCGTTCCCGCCCTCGGCCCCCTCCCCCACTGAAGACCGCTCTCTGGCGCCCCCGCCCCCAGTCTAGAGCCTGCTGCCCGTTGGAGACCAATGGGAGGCTCATGCGCGTCTCAGATCGATTTTCCACGTGCGGAGTTCACTGCCGCAGCGGCTGTGGCATTTCGGACCCGCGGCGCCGCGCTCCAGAGGGAGCTGCGCAGAGCGGACCCGAAGCCAGCCCTCTCCACGCCGCACCTTCCCAGCCGGCTGCGGTCGAGCCTTGGGATCTGCATCCCCCGCTCTGGTCTACGCGGCTCGCCCTCCCTCCTTTTCTCTCCGGCGCACGCCCGAGGCTGAAGACCTCTGCGCACCGGCCCGAGAGGTAGCGGAGACCCGGGAGCGGGGACGGGTCCGCCTCGCCTGCGTTTCAGCTCGGCCGAGGACTCTCGGGCACCGGCAGGCCCGTCTCCGGGTGTGGGTGAGGGTTCCCGGCCCACCCTCCCCTCTGGGGCGCAATGGCGCGCAAGTTTGAATTAGCAGGTGTGATGAGGCCTGACGATTCCTCGTCTGAAATGCAGGTGTCGGTTCGGGTTAGAGCCGAACCACGAGGATGCCATCCACTGCGCGCTCTTTTCTCCTCCCCTGACCAGGTGACCTTGCGCTCTGGGCTGCATCACAGAAGAAATCAGTTCCTCCGGGAGATGAAGCCTCAGCAGGAGAGACAGATTACAGATCGTGAAAAGGCAAGTCGGAGAGTGCGTTTCCTTCCCGGGGCTCTGTGTGCGCACACCTGCCTGGAGGACCTTTCGCGCCCGCCCGCGGTCCTTACTGTGTTCCTTGGTGTGCGCGGGGGAGGCCCGGCGCGTGGTTTGTTAGAACACCGTTTAGGAAGGGCATACTGTTAACTGTTTTTCAGAACAGTTTAAAACGCACCACTTCTCTGTTCGTCTGCTGTTGAGAAGTTTGACGCTGGAGAGGTAAAGTGAGAGTTGAGTTGCTGTGTAAGATCCCTGATGGGTCAGTACGATTAAATTAGCTACCTTGAAAAGTTATTCAAGAGTTGGTGCATAGACCCCTTTATGATCTATCCAGGTCCTGCAACGGTCTTTTGTTTGTTTGTTTGTTTGTTTTTGAAGAACTATTTTGAGTTCATTTAAATCATGCAAGTAATACATTAGTGCGGCCTCTTAAAATGCAAACAGTACAGAAATATTTAGCACGAAAAGCAGATCCATTTTCCAGTCTTTTTCTGCTCATGTACATACGTCTTCATTCATTCAGCAAATGCTCATTGAAAACTTGATATTTTTCAGGCACAGTTTTGAAACGCGCAGTGGTGTTAACACGTATCTATCGTGTTAATGCTTATCTATATCTCCAGAGAAATCTTTAGGTTCTTGTGTGTGTGGTTTTAGAATATTTGCTTGTTTTACATAAATGAGATCATGTAGTGTGTATTCTCCAACCTCCAACCTTTTTTGTTGTTGTTATTTTTATTTATTTTATTTATTTTGGCTGCGCCTGGCCTTAGTTGCGGCACGCGGGATCTTTTTTTATTTAGTTGTGGCATGCAGACTTCTTAGTTGTGGCATGCATGTGGGATCTAGTTCCCCAACCAGGGATGGAACCTGGGCCCCCTGCCTTGGGAGCACGGAGTCTTACCCACTGGACCACCAGAGAAGTCCCCCTCCAACCTTTCCCCCCCCCAATTTAACAATATATTTTGGAAATTTTTCATGCTGGTACATAAGCATCTGTGTTACTTAGTTTCACCTCTGCACAGTATGGATGCACCATAGTGTTATTTATTATCTTTTCTCACGGGTGGACATTCTGGTTGCTTTTGTTTTGAGCCCCTCACAAGCCATGCTGTAGTGGACATCCTTGTATGTGATTTTTCATGCTGACCTTTGAGTATTTCTCTAGGATAGGCCCCCAGGCCAGGATTGCTGGTCTGAAGAGTAGCCTGTGCCTTTTCTACAGATTTCAGAAATCAATTCGACAACATTATTGTGCGCCCTTTTGGGGTGAAATTCATCTAGGCTCTGGTGGCGTAGAAGTGAAAGATAAATGGATTAATGGATGGGCAGAGAGAGGCTGGTCAATAGATGATTCTTAGTGGGATGACTCTGCATTTAATGGAGGAGCTGGGAGAGCACCTGTGAGGGAGGGGCAGCTTGTATGGAAGAGGAGACTCTTCCAACCCCCTGCTGTGCGCCCATCTCTCTGCCCAGCAGAAAAATCCTTATCTTTCCAGATCAAGCTCAAGACCTGCCTCTTCTTGACACTCTAACTGCCTCTGCTCATGCCACGCCTCACCCTCTTCTGGATTCCTTTGATAATGGTATTAGCCAACATTACTGAGCTTACTATGTTCTGGACACTGTATTGAAGCACTTTATATTCCTCCAGGTACACTCAGTTAATCCTCACAAAACCTTTTGATGTAGGTATTTTCTTGTCATCACCATTTATTCAATAATTTTTTTAGTACAGGCATACCTTGGCGATACTGTGGGTTCAATTCCAGACCATCACAGTAAAGCAAACAGGCATTTTTTGGTTTCCCAGTGCATATAAAAGTTATGTTTACACTATACTGCAGTCTGTAAAGTGTCCAATAGCATTATGTCTAAAAAAAAATGTACATATCTTAATTTAAAAATAACTTTATTGCTAAAAAATGCTAACCATCATCTGAGCCTTCAGTGAGTTGTAATCTTTTTGCCAGTGGAGGGTCTTGCCACTGCCAACTAAGAATTGTCACTCGCCACGTGGTTCTACAAGAATGAAGTCACTGGCCACTGCAGTTACTGACCTTCAGCACACCCTGAAAGGAGTTAAGGGCCGAGGCAGGAGATCAGGAATGAGGCACTCTGTTCTTTGGGAAAAACTGGTGGAACAGGCCTTCAAGATAGTTAGATATTTTCAGGAGATTTTATGAGCCCAATTTCTTGTATCTTCTCATATCTAGAAAAGCACTAAAGTCATTAATGGAGACCTCTGCTCCTTGTGACTAGCAGCAACCTTCTGCCAAAAGGTATGCTTGATTGCATGCATCTCCCCTTCACTACAATCGTATATATACTGACTCCCCCGATCCCCCCACCTCACCCCACCCCCTCACCTTCGGTCAGTACCTCATTGTGGATGGCTGCTGACTGATCACGTGGTGGTTGCTGAAGGTAGGGGTGACTACTGCAATTTCTTAAAATAAGACAGCAGTGAAGTTTGCCACATTGGGACTTCCCTGCGGTCCAGTGGTTAAGACTTTGCCTTCCAATGCAGGGGGTGGGGGCCCTGGTCGGGGAGCTAAGATCCTATGTGCCTGGTGACCAAAAAACATGAAACAGAAGTAATGTTGTAACAAATTCAGTAAAGACTTTAAAATGGTCCACATTAAAAAAATCCACATAAAAAAAAGTTTGTCACATCGATTGACTCTTCCTTTCATGAATGATTTCTCTTTAGCATGCAATGCTGGTTTTTTTTCCCTTATAAATTTATTTTATTTATTTATTTATTTTTGGCTGCGTCAGGTCTTCGTTGCTGCTCGCGGGCTTTCTCTAGTTGTGGCGAGCAGGGGACTACTCTTCGTTGCAGTGCGTGGGCTTCTCGTTTCAGTGGCTTCTCTTGTTTCAGAGCACGGGCTCTAGGCGCACGGGCTTCAGTAGTTGTGGCACGCAGGCTCAGTAGTTGCAGCACACGGGTTTGGTTGCTCTGCGGCATGTGGGATCTTCCCGGACCAGGGCTCGAACCCGTGTCCCCTGCATTGCCAGGCAGATTCTTAACCACTGCACCACCAGGGAAGCCCGCAATGCTGTTTGATAGCATTTTACCCGCAGTAGAACTTCTTTCATAATGGGAGTCAGTCCTCTCAAACCCTACCACTGTTTTATCAACTGGTTTGGTAAAGTTTATGTAATATTCTGAATCTTTTTTGTCATTTCGACAGTCTTCACAGCATCGTCACCAAGAGTACATTCCATCTATGAGCAAACCACTTTTTTCCTCATCCGTAAGAAGCACCTCCTCATCAGTGAACGTTTATCATGAGATTGCAGCAGTTCAGTTACTTCTTCAGGCCCCACTTCTAATTCTAGTTCTCTTGCTTTTCCACCACATCTGCAGTTATTTCCTCCACTGATGTCTTGAACCCCTCAAGATCATTAGGGTTGCAGTAATATTTCGAAAGGAATCCTTTTTTTTCTGAGCAGTATGTCTCAAATGTGGGCTTAAAATATTCAGTAAAACATGTAGACAGATGTGCTGTCATGTAGGCCTTGTTTCATTTGTAGAGCACAAGTAGATTTAGCATAATTCGTAAAGGCCCTAGGATTTTCAGAAGGGCACTGGCTTTAACTTAAAATCACCAGCTACATTAGCCTCTAACAAGAGAGTCAGCCTGTCCTTTGAAGTTTTGAGGCCAGGCATTGACTTATTTCTATTTACAAAAGTCCTAGATGGCATTTTCCAGTAGAAGTCTCTTTTGTCTACATTGAAACTCTGTGGTTTAGTGTAGCCATCTTTGCTCATTATCTTGGCTAGATCTTGTGGACAACTTGGTGCAGCGTCTACATCAGCACTTGCTGCTTTACTTTGCACTTTTATGTTATGGAGACGGCTTCTTTGCTTCAACTTCATGAACCAACCTCTGCTAGCTTCAAACTTTTGTTCCGCGGCTTCCTCACCTCTCTTAGGCTTCATAGAATTGTAGAAAGTTAGGCCCTTGCCCTGAACTGCTGGTTGGTGG